AATGAAGCCGATGAAGTTATCGTAACTGTTGTCACTTCGGTTGAATTTTGAAATGTTCCACTGAGTTCACTATCGCTTGTTGAGTTGGCTGGTAGTTGAAGCGAGCGGCGTTTCAGAGCCTTCTGCGTTGGTTCATGGATGCGTGAACTCGAATTGGAGATGAATTCGAATTGTTTCTGCATTGTGCCGTACAAAATTGAGCGATGACCGATCCTTCCGAGTACATACACCTCAGAAGCATTTCTTAGGCTAGCACATTCTGTCCCGCAGCATCGTCGCCCAATCGTATGGTCGCCTGTACTGTAGATGGCCAATGTTCGTTGGCCTTCGAAGTGACTTTGTTGGGCTCGCATTTCTTTCTGAAGTTCAGTCTTTCATTAGAGATTGTCCGTTGTAAATGTTGTGAACAAATCGCGGAGGTTCAAATAAATTTTAAACACCTATACATATTCCGTTAGGGTCACTATAATTCCTTATGAATATTTTTTAATGTGAATGATAGTTCTGTCATTGAGGCATTTCTTGCTGCTGGGTTTTTCACTTTCTCGTGAATTGTCCATTGGAAATTTCTTTTGTTCGGAGCTGAACGGCCTTCAGCATATTCAATTCTGCCATTCTAATTTTCTTTAGACGTTTGATCAACACAAACAACTAACCACTAACTTAGAATTGCAATTCAACGAACTCTTCAGATTGCATAAATTTTTCTCCGATGGGCAGTGCTCAATTCCATAGTTTGCACCTCCAACACTGATGAAACTATGTACCTGTAAGGAGTAGTTAACATTTACAGCAGTACAACTCCATAGAATACCTAACATTTTCGATGAATAATTTTCAAGATCGTACAATACCTCACAACAGCTTTCAAAACCGGTTAGAAAGTTTGCCGAATGTTATGAATAAATTTTGACCCAATTAGCTCTTAGATTGATCTTGCTCTTCAAAAAACTCTTCAGCGCTCTTCAAGAAGTTTTCAAGCTGAAAAAGCAAATATCTCGGTAAGAACTTCATGTTTGTGATAACAAGCTCCCTACCAAGGAGGTTAGAGGTGGTCCGACATTTTCACTGCTACTGTCAGGACATTTTCCACCAAGAACTGCCTTTCGAGCAATAAGTGCACCACCAGAATAAGCCACAAGATCAAC